ATCTCTTTTACTCCATGTGCAATAAACTCATTCCCTTCATCTTTATAAATATTTATATTTTTCATGATTAAAACTGAAGTGAGTGGTTCTTATTGGTGAATGGAATAACTGCACTTATTGATTGGCTGGTTGGATTCAACTGAAGTTTATAAATATTTATAAAGATGAAATGGGTTTGTTGTGCTGCAGTACTGGTTCAACAAAACAAACTTGTTTGATTGTTTTCAGGTTTGAATTTCCAAAATAAATAAAATAGGAATTATGAACTTCTCTACATTCTGTCGAGGTTTGCAATTCTTTACAATACTCAGGAAGCAATACTTATTGACACATTGTAAACATTCTCCAACCCTAAGCCGATTAGACAGAAATTCCATTCATACATCTGTGAGAGTACAGAGAAGAAGGCAGTTGGATGGCAGAGAATTGTTGATAGATGAAAAGAGAAACCAAGTGCAAAAAAAACAACTATCAAAAGATTTGAAGGAGTCATCCTGGGTCAGGCTTCAGGATGAGACCGACTCGTTTCTTACCGTTTATGACTGGGAACAAAGATGGATCAAATATCAGAGATTTTTTATTGAAAGTATGGGGAAGCTAGCCAGTCTGGGACATTTACAAAAAGCAAAATCTCTTATGAAATTCATGGAAGCTAAAAATGTACCAGTGGATGAAGCTATTCTGCACAATTACTTAACTCTTTGTGTTGAACATAACTATTTTGAAGAAATGTTCAAAACATATGACATTTTGAAAAGTATGGATGACATGCTTCCAGCACCAACTCTCTCAGTTTTGATTAGAGGATTCTGTAAAACTGAATTGTGGAAGAAAAGTTTGGATTTTCTGGAACAGATGAAAAGCTACAGTATGATATCCAGTAGCAACTACTGGCCTGTGGTTACAGCTGCTTTACTGCATAAAGAATTTGCTCTTGGTCAGAAGTTAATCGACGAGATGAGGAGCCAAGATTTTTATTTTGATGATGCCACCATGCGAACAATGATAAAAGTGTTTCATTGTCGCACTAATGATAGGGTGTTCATTGAGAACAGTGAAAGAATTGTCCATTCATTGTTTGATTATATGAGACAAGAACCATACTTTCCATCAAAGGACCTAGCTGATGAAATAGGAAGGTGGTTTAAAACGTGAGTAAGTTTTATATTTGTAATCATAAGTTATTGATCGTTCACAAAGTTATTTCAATCTGCAAGGTAATTTCTTAACTTCTTTAAAATAGAATGCTAGAAAGATTTTAGTGCTTACAACCGTGCATATAACAGTGGCAATATTTTGTGTCATAATGTATCCCAGACATGCCTGGGGCAATTTCATTCAAACTTCAGACACACATCATATCATACAAATGCGCATGCATTTGTTTTATGATTCAATTCAAGATGGCCGACTGCTGGTCATTATAGTGGTAAAAATTCTTCAAATTCAAACATTTCAGCCATGGATGGGGACTTGTCATTGAAAATCATCTTAAAGACACACTCAGATTTGTTGTTTCATTGTTTTTATCCAATACTGTAAAATACTTTATTTTAGCTGGAATTAATTTTCGCTTAAAAGACTTTGAGTGTTTTGCATGGAGTTTATTTTCACTGATTTTTAACAAGTTGAATGTAAAATATAGAAAAAAGGGTATATTCACTGGATTTTATTGTCACTGAATCATTCCTTCAGCGAAAATTAATTCCAAGCGAAAATAAAGTATTCTACAGTATTTGTTGCTTATTATGTATATGTAACTTTAATATTCATTGTTCTTATGTAGTAAAAGACATGAGAAATGGAGATCTGGATATGCTGGACTAGATGAGAATGGTATATGTGGTATTTGTGGAAAACAGCTTGACCCATTGACGCTAACAGATAATGAATTTAAACAGTTACATGACCAGATAATGGAGAAGGTTGGATTCTAATATCATCTTTTAAGATATTGAAAATGAAACATAAATACATATGTATGAGAAACTTATTAGTTATACATGTAGATGATAATCTACCAAAACAGGCTTACCTAGAACAAAAAATACGCAATAATATAAAATGCAATACAAAACTCGCTAAATTTTATTCAAGAAAAGTCTCTTAGTAGTAAACAAAAAAAAACAAATCAATAACATTTTAAAAGTCATTTTTAAAAATATGTGAACTTATGGGGAAAAAATCTTTTTAGACAGTGACATATTTGAATAAGCTAGACTGTGATATAAAAGGGAATGGTATATAAAATTTAAAATTAGCAACAACAATCTGGAAATAGTAGTAGTCATTAGGCTTTTTATGCCACATATTTTTGTGCCATTGTAAACAACATATACTGGTACAGTAGTTTTTTTAAAATAAGTGCATCTGTGTCTGATATTAATTTTATTTTCACCATACAATGTTATTTCATGGTAAAATAAGTGGGCAGAGGGATTTGTGGGTAATCAGACTATAAACGGGAAGGTGCTGCATTTATAGGGTATATTATGTGAGATTTAATAAATCTCTAATTAGTGACATATTGTTTCAGATAATTTTGCAACATAGTTAGAATAAAAAAACAAATAAACATTTTTCACTTGATACCCAGGTGAGTTTGTTACATCATTGGGAGCGAGCATGTAAGAGTGAACCCAAACAGCAACCTCAGTCAATAAAACCATTGCATGGAGTGCTATTGGTATAACCTGATTGGTAGCTGGATGTTTTTGACCAAGAGATAGTTAGACATTTTCAAATTTCAGTGCAAAAGTAGTAGTTTATTAGACACTTCAAACTCCCTATCAACTGTATGATGAAACAAACAACAAGTCATCTTGGCATTGAATTTTTGGGTCGTCCCTGAAATTATTTCCTGGCGATATATTTCTGGATACAGGATCAGACATTCAGCTTATCAACTTGTTTCTACATGTGAAATGAGACAAATGCCATCAGCATTTGAAAACAAATTATCTATTTGCGCAATGTCCCCTTTTAACAGATTTATTTTATGCAGGTCATCAAGAGTAAAGACGTCTATTTGAAAACATCACCACAAGAATTAAAAGCATTCATCGAATATGTAAATGATGGTCCATCTTATGATGTTGTTATTGATGGTTTAAATGTAGCACACATTGATCCATTTGTAAACAAGTCACTGCAAGTAAGTACATACCATAATAATATGCAAAACAATGAAAATTAACTTACCAATATCATTAGTAAACATTAAAGGAAAAACATATTGACATTAAAGGGGAACCGCTCAATCATGAATCATGGGACACTATTGTTTATGTTGTTTACAAAGTTAATCTATCTTTTGTTATCCATTGTAATTTTAATCCAGAAAGTAAATTTGTTGTGAGATTAAGCTTAACTGGAAGTGCCCCTTTAAACTTTCCTAGTAAGTTTATTTATAAGCAATCAAATCTCTTACAAATCACTCCATTGCTAAACACTAAAAACTGTTGCAACAGATTTTGCAGCTAAATTTGGTTCCCAAACTGTGCAATGCAAGTTTTAAGTAGGTGCTCCCAATGAGTGCTGAAATTTAACTGGGCTCTAATCAAAATGTTCTTCCTCTCATGATCAGTGTTATTGTATATCTGGTGATGTTTTTCTAAACTTAGCACAGCAGTGTATGGTTCCCAATTTAGATGACTATTTAGGGAACATTTTTCATGCTTATTTAGCTGTAATAGAAAATACAACTTGTGCTCTTAACAGCTATCAAAATGTTATTATAAACTTATTAATAAAGATACTCAGGCATCCATTCAAATTATGTCCTCAGAGTCAATTAAGGTAGCGAGACTATTATTTGTGTTGAAAATTACGATTTTCACATTTATTTATTAATTGATGAAATGCACTATAAACTTTCATATGATAAAGTCAACATAACATAGAATGTCATGTAAGTTGGTTAAAATGTAGATTTTCTGAAGGAAAGCAAGGCAGCCTCAGTAGTGTTTTCCAAAATCAACAACACAGGTTTAATCTGTGTGCCTATAAGTTTCAAAGATAAACTCAAGACAAAGCAATGTTAGGATGTGTTATCAGTAGCTATCTGACACACAATGAGTGTTTCCAAACATTTGAGTGGTTTGTCTCCGCCCCTGTTTGTTTCACAGATTAGTCATTTGCATATGAATGTGTCAGACACAAGGTCACACAGCCACTGAAAAAAATCATTGATTTTGGTGTTTTCATATGCCGAATTTATCCAAATATAGCTATCCCATTCCTTTATTTTTTTGGTTTCCAATAGCCTTACACATTTGGATGTCCCTACACATGTTAAAACAGACC